GCTCAGCTTTCTTTATAGTCCAACTCTCACATCCATACATGACTACTGGAAAAACCATAGCTTTGACTAGACGGACTTTTATTGGCAGAGTAGTGTCTCTGCTCTTTTATATGCTGTCTAGGTTGGTCATAGCTTTTCTTACAAGGAGCAAGCGTCTTTTAATTTCATGGCTGCAGTTACCATCTGCAGGGATTTTGGAGCCCCCACAAATAAGTCTGTCACTGTTTCCATTGTTTCCCCATCTATTAGCCATGAAGTGACAGGACTGGATGCCATGATCTTAGTTTTCTGAATGTTGAGTTTTAAGCCAGCTTTTTCACTCCCCTCTTTCACTTTCATCAAGAGGCTTATTAGTTCTTCTTCGCTTCCTTCCATAAGGGTGGTGTCATCTGCATGTCTGAGGTTATTGATATTTCTCCCTGCAATCTTGATTCAGCTTGTACTTCATCCAGCCCAGCATTTCACATGATGTACTCTGCATAGAAGTTAAATAAGCAGGATGACAACATACAGCCTTGACGTACTTCTTTCCTGCTTTGGAACCAGTCTGTTGTTCCATGTCCAGTTCTAACTGTTGCTTCTTGACCTGCATACAGATTTCTCAGGAGGCAGGTAAGGTAGTCTGGTATTCCTATCTTTTGAAGAGTTTTCCACAGTTTGTTTTGATTCACACAGTCAAAGGCTTTGGTGTAGTCAATAAAGCAGAAGTAGATGTTTTTCTGGAACTCTCTTGCATTTTTGATGATCCAGCGGATGTTGGCAATTTGATCTCTGGTTCCTCTTTCTTTTCTAAATCCAGCTTAAACATCTGGAAATTCACTGTTCATGTACTGTTGCAGCCTGGCTTGGAGAATTTTGAGCATTACTTTGCTAGCATGTGAGATGAGTACAATTGTGAGGTAATTTGAACATTCTTTGGCATTGCCTTTCTTTGGGATTGGAATGGAAACTGACCTTTTCTAGTCCTGTGGCCACTGCTGAGCTTTCCATATTTGCTGGCATATTGAGTGCAGCACTTTCACAGCATCGTCTTTTAGGATTTGAAATAACTCAACTATAAAGATCCACTTAATCTACTGACTATTCAGTAAGGGGCTCAATAAATGTTAGTTTTCTTCCTTCCTCCTGCATGCATGCTAAGTTGCTTGAGTCCTGTCCCTATAGACTATAGCCCTCCAGGCTCCTCTGTCCATGGGATTCTCCAGACAAGAATACTGGAGTTGGTTTCCATGCCCTCCTCCCGGGATCTTCCCCACCCAGGGTCTGAAATTGCGTCTCTTATGTCTCCTGCATTGTCAGACAGGTTCTTTACCACTAGTGCGACCTGGAAAGACCCTGTGTTCCTACTGAGAATCTGTGATTCTTAAAACCATCTGCAGCTTAAAATTATGTAGGGAACTTTTTAAAAATACAGTTGTTCAGACCCCACCCATTGAGATTTGGATTTAATTGGCCTGTGGTAGGGCTTGAGTATGGGTTTTGTTTTTGTTTTTGTTTTTTTTGATCCTGCCTCAAGCCTTGTGAGATTTTTAGTTCCCCTGGCAGGGATCAAACCCTCACCATTGGGCAGTGAAAGTGCAGAGCCCTAACCACTGGACTACCAGGGAATTCCGAGCATGGGTTATTTTGAAAATAATCTCTTGTTAAAGGACACATTTTTTAAAGATAAAATAATGATTCCCACAGAAATATAAATTGAACACATAGCAAAATTTTATTCAACTTATTCATTAATGAGGGAACCAGTAAGATGTTATAACTGGTTCAAATCCAGCAACACAAACACATACACAACCACAAATGCTGAGATGAATTTACAAATAGATGCAAATCCACTGGGTAATAATCAATTGCATTCCACTGAGGGAAATTCATTTGCATTTCTGTGGATAAGAATCATTTGCATTACGTTATGCTTTCTGTAATTTACAGAGTTGTAAAAAAGCTCAGAGGTAGTGAAAGATGCAGACCTCTATGAAATCACATAGCTGGACTAGTATGTGAAACAGGACACCCAGTGATCTGTTTCTGGGTACACGTCAATGACTCCCATGCTTCCCCAGCCAGAGGAGCGCACCCTGCCTTAGACCTTTGCATGTAATTCTGTGATGACTGTTCTCCCACTGTCTTGTAGTTATTTTGAGTCTGAGCTGTCTCACCTATGACAGAGGAGTCCTGAAGTATAGGATTCATATTCTATTTATCTTTGTAGCCCAGGACCCACCACACTGCCTGGCCTGCTTTGTAACTGCTTAAAAACAGTTGAATTCATAATTGAATTGAATTGGATAACTTGACGAAACAAGCAGAACAAGTAGTGTTTTTGTTTGTTCATTTTTGGCTGCTCTGGGTCTTGGTTCCTGTGCTCAGGCTTTCTCTAACGGCAGTGAGCCGGCTTCTCATTATGGTGTCTTCTCTTGTGGCATGTGGGCTGTAGAGTGTAGGCTCAGTAACCTTGGCTCACAGGTTTAGTTGCCTCACCCAGACCAAGAATCGAACCCATGTCCCCTGCGTTGGCAGACGGATTCTTTTTTATTTTATTTTAAACCTTTTACTGGGCTATAACCACTTAACAGTGCTGTGATAGTTTCAAGAGAATCGCAAAGCGACTCAACCATACGTATACATGTATGCATTCTCCCCCAAACTCCCCTCCCATTCAGGTTGGGTAGGCTGATTTTCAACCACTGGGCCACCAGGGTAGTCCCAGAACAAGTCATGTTATTTTCCATCTCGTGATGAGGAAGCTGAGGCCTTGAAAGTCTCTTATCTTATCACATAATCAGCTTGTGATAAAGTTGGAACTCAGACCCTGTCATCCATTCCCTGCTTCAATCTTACTTCATTCAACAGTGAGTAGCTGCTCTGCACCAGTCACTAGGAGCAGTGGGCTTCTGCCGTCCTTGCTCTCGGAACCTTACATGTAGGGCAACACGCTTAGAGAACGTGAGCCAGAATGCCTGAAGTCAGCAATTATTAGCCTTGCGACTCTAGACAAATTACTTGGCTTTTCAGTGCTTTCATTTTCTCATCCATAAAATAGGGAAGTGAAGTGAAGTGAAGTTGCTCAGTCGTGTCCGACTCTGCGACCCCATGGACTATAGCCTACTAGGCTAGGAGCTACTAGGCTCCTCAGTCCATGGGATTTTCCAGGCAAGAGTACTGGAGTGGGTTGCCACTTCCTTCTCCAAAAAAAATAGGGACGCCTACCATAAAAGGATTAATTAAGGGAATACAGTGCAAAGTGTTTACAGCAGCTGCTGGTGCTATAATCATCTGTGAAAGATGAGGCAAACTTGGATCCTCCCGTTGCTTGAGAAGCTCTATTGGGATGAAAACAGTAGATCATGGTTAGGGCATGTGGTGAGTGCAGTCATAGGGATATGAGGCAAACTATCGGAGTTGGAGAGCCGGACTTCTGGGGAGCTGAGTCCTTAAGCATTAGCATGGGAAACTACATGGGGTTTCCCACGGGGCTGAGTGGTGAAGAACCCACCTGCCCATGCGGCAGACATAGGGGACTCGTCTTCAATCTCTGGGTTGGGAAGATCCCCTGGAGGAGGAAATGGCAACCCACTCCAGTGTTCTTGCCTGGAAAATCCCATGGACAGAGAAGCCTGGCGGGCTACAGTCCATGGGATCGCAGAGAATCAGACACTACTGAAAGACTAACACACTTCAGCCACTTAAACAACGGGGTCATGAATCTGGGTTCAGCTCTGCGGAGTCCTTTGCCTCAAGGTCTCTCACAAGGCTTCGGTCAAGGCGTTGGCCAGGACCTCAGTTCCTTCAATGCTGGGCTGGGGCAGGATCCCCTTCTAACTTCACTCAGTGGTTTTTGGCAGGATTCAGGTTCTCAGGGGTGGTCCCTTGCCACATGGGCCTCCCCATAGGTCAGCTCACACTATGGCATCTGGCTTCATCACAGTGAGCGAGAGAGAGAGGGAAGGTGCCCCAGACAAAGCCAAAGTCTTTTTTTTTTTCTGGCTGTGCTGTGTCTTTGTTGTGGTCCTTGTGGCGTGGGAGCTTCTCTGGTTGTGGATCACAGGCTTAGGTTCCCCCCAGCATGTGGGATCTTAGTTCTCCTACTAAGGATCGAACCTGTGTCCCCTGCATTGGAAGGCAGAATCCTAACCACTGGACCATCAGGGACGTCCCACCATAGTCATTTATAACGTAACCTCAGAAGTGACTTGTGCTCTAGTCCAATCTTCGTTAGAAGCTCGCCATCGGCTCCAACCCACGTTCAAGGGGAGAGGATTACACAAGGGCATGAACAGCAGGAGAAGGGATCTTCAGAGATCCCACAGCCCCTGTCTCTGCCTTGCGTTTACCACTGGGGCATCAAATCGGTACGCCTAAATCGAAATCAGTCCGAGAAGGAAGGTAGTCAAAGAGGTAGCACGAGTTCAGTGGTGGCTCACAGAGAGTTGTCTGGTTGGAAGAATCAGTACGGTTTCCTGGAGGAGGCGGCATTAACAATGGACTTTGAAAGAGTGAAGGACATGCCATTGGCCAAGAAGGGGAAGCCAGGTGAAGGATACAGTGTAGGCAAATGCAGGGAGGTGGGCAAGTGAAGGGCCTGCTCAGATGTCCAGATATCAAAACCATCTCACTTGGGAATTCCCTGGCCATCCAGTGGTTAGGACTCTGTGATTTCATTGCTAAAGATCCCAGTTTGATCCTTGATTGGGGAACTAAGATCCCACAAGCCAAAAAAACCCCACAAAAAACAAAAAAACACTACCCCACTTGAGTGGAACCTATGTAAAGAAAGGGAGAGTTAAAGGGATGGCAGTGGCAATTAGAACCAAAGGTAGATGGCTTCCACTGTTAGATAAGGGAGCTCTCTCCTTGACTGGGGGATAAGTGTGGGGACCAGGGGCTGGACAAGGCGTGGTTTCCATTACCACCAGGTTCAGGACTGAGGGGCTCCGAGTCCAGTGTTCCCCTGTCCCTCCAGCCTGGCTGCGAGACCCACGCCCCTTCTCCTCTTGCAGTTTGGACGCACCGAGGTCATTGACAACACACTCAATCCCGACTTTGTGCGCAAGTTCATCGTGGATTACTTCTTCGAGGAGAAGCAGAACCTCCGTTTTGACCTGTAAGTAGAAGATGGTGCTGAGGTTGGAGCTGGGGAGGGAACCACGGTGGGGAGGTAGGGCTCCAGGACCTATTGTTGGGGCAGTGGTTTACTCACTTGGGAAGGTAGGAGAGCTGTCACATCAGAGGAAGCCAAGGGTGGACCTGGAAGAAAGGGGACTCTTAGCTGAAGTCCAGCCCCACGCACATCAGGAGATGGAAGAGAGGTGGGGAGAGGGAACAAAGACACCCCACTTTGGTCTAGTGTGGAAGCGCACTGGGCAATTACCTGATTCTGGGGCGGGTGGTTGAGGAAGATCTTGGGGCAACTCCAGTTCTACCCCCAGGGAGCCCAAGTCCCCAGTGAACTTTCCCTCTGTCAAAGCTGGTTCTGGGGGTGGTGTCCCCTCCAGTTTCCCCTCCCTCAGGGGTTACCCAGCTGACCGGACTCAAAGCATCTGTGTGTTCATCACAAGGATGCCGAATGCCCCCCTCTCCTGAGGTTAAAGGTGACAGTGGGGTTTTAGTCTGGTGAGTAGGTGGAGGAGTGTTTTGTTGTTTTGTTCAGGATGTAGGGTGGTTAGGAAGGACTGTGCCCCCAGAGAACTGTGGACGGAGTGGGGAAAAGGGGTTGGCCAAAAGGGAGCAAAGGGAAAAAATGCAGTAAAAAGGAGACGAACGTGGAGGGAGCAATAGGAGGACTTGAGGGCCAGGGCAGTCAATGCAACCCATTGCAGGGAAGTCAGCTTCCCAGATGACACTACTGGTAAAGAACCTGCCTGCCGATGCAGGAGACACAAGAGACACAGGTTCGATCCCTGGGTTGGGAAGATCTTATGGAAGAGGGCATGGTACCCCATTCCAGTATTCTTGCCCGGAGAATCCCATGGACAGAGGAGGTCTGGCAGGCTACAGTCCATGGAGTTGCAAAGAGTCAGCCACTACTGAGTGACTAACACATACACAACTTATATATGGGCTTCCCTGGTTGCTCAGTGGTAAAGAATCCACCTGCCAATGCAAGAGATGTGGGTTCAATCCCTGGGTCGGGAAGATCCCCTGGAGAAGGAAATGCCAACCCACACCAGCATTCTTGCCTGGGAAATCCCACGGACAGAGGAACCTGGAGGACTGCAGTCCATGGGGTCGCAAAGAGTTGGACATGACTTATTGGATAAAAAACAACAACATAACTTATATATAGTGAAGTGCCCAAATCCTAAGAACCCTACCCCATGATGCATTCTGATATCCATTTATCACCCAGATCAAAAGACACACTAGGTCTAGCACTTTAGAAGGCTCCCACTTATATCTCCCTGCTATTACTCCCAGGAATGTCCACTGCATTAGTGCTTGGTTTGGGGAGAGCATGGGTTCTGGCTCAGCTCAAGAAGCCAGACAGTTCAGGGCAGGCTGCCCCAGCTGCCTTCACCATCTCTCTGTGTTCCCTGCAGGTATGATGTTGACTCCAAGAGTCCTGATTTATCCAAACACGTGAGTTCTGCCAGTGCCTGCCCAGCAATTCTGAAAGTCTCCTAAATGCCAAACTCTGAGTTGTCCTTGGGTTTCACTATGACACAGAGTGTGTGTCTGACGCTATAGCCTGTTAATTCAGAACCCTTGTATACCCAGGGGTGGGGTGATGGGGGAGGTAGGATGACTGTGAGCCTAGTGGTTGACAGTGGTCTTTTTTGCACCCTGGATGTGCAGGATTTCCTGGGCCAGGCCTTCTGCACCCTTGGAGAGATTGTGGGGTCCCCTGGGAGCCGCCTGGAGAAGTCCCTCACGTAAGTATATAGGAAAGTGGAGCCTGTCTGGGTTTCTTCCTCAGCGATGGTCCAACTTCCTGTTCATCTTTGCTGAGGGTTGGCTCAGGGGAGGGGCAAGCCGTCAGCCAGTAATCGTGGGCAGTCAGAAATACAGGGACTGAAAGAGCTTTGCCCTTGCAGGACTTTTAACCCAATTATCTTGGAGGGACCTCGGCTCACTTATTAGAGCCTCACATTCTTTAGAATGACCTGAGACATTATCTAGTCCTCTCCCATCCCCCGACCCCATCATTATATAGGGGAAGAAACTGAAGCCCAGAGAGGGAAGTGATTTGCCCAAGGCCACATAGCTAGGAAGTAGAAGAGCTAGGATTTGAACCTAGGGATCTGCTTACATTGAGTAGTCTTCAGATTGTTCCAATGGCAAAACCCTCCCCGTCCCACCATGCCCCTGCATCATAGGGTTTTCAGTGCTTTAGGGGGAAACTATTACACTGAACAGGCTCCGCCATGAGGAGTCCCAAGGCTTCTCACAGTGGAGCCTGGGGGTGGCTTCAGGGACCAGCCAGGTTGGCCAGGCAATGGGGTGACCTCTCGTCCCTGTTTCTCAGGAAGCCCCAGGAGCAGGGACCAGGCAAGAAAGGCCTGCCAACTGGGACATGTGTCCAGGTCACAGGGCAGGGTGGGCAGAAAAGCACACCCCCCTCCCCCGCTTCTGCCAATTTCACACTGGACGCTGTCCCCTCACCATGATCAATAACTGCAGAATGTGTTATTGCGGGGAGGGGACTGGTCTCTTTCCCAGGTCTTGTCTCTAACCCCCAATAACTGTGTGGAAACTTCAGAGCCTCCAGAAAGTTCTTCTGTCCCCCAAATGGTCTCCTCCCCTGGCTTCACGGAATATAGTTATAAATAGCTATCATTTCTTGAGCCTAGGGAGTAATCCCATGTTTGAGGGCTCTGAAGCTTATAGAATTTGGGTCCCAGGAGTGAGTGTGTGTCTGCCCCTCTTAGCTCCCAACTGCCTGAGTCAAAAGCACATGAGTTATTTGGGTCTGTTTCCTGTGTTGCCCCCTGGCCCTCCAGGGGTGGAGGGGCATACCTTCCGGGGGCGGGGGGGCGGGGGTTGGAGAAAGACTTTGGATTGGGGAGGAGCCAATGGGAGGAGCTTTAAAGGTCAAACAGGATCTAAAATGTGGAGATGCAGGGTGCTGGTGAAGGAGGGGACCTACTTCCCCAATGAAGCTTTCCCACGTCCAGGTCTAGTTGCTCCTCTGGCTAGACCTATGAATGGCTTCCTTTCAAGGGGTGTCTGTTCTGGGCCAGACAGTGTTTCATCTCTGTGACCTCATGAGGTCAGTCTCCCCATTTCACAGCCTAAACACTGAGCCTCAGAGAGGCCACGCAGAGGTTCTCAAACTGAAGCAGGCATCAGCATCCCCTGGAGAGCGGATTTCGCACAGACCGCTGGGCTCCAACCCCAGGTCCAGGCGATGGGGCGAGAATTTCCATGTCTAACACAGCCCCAGGGGAGGTGATGCGGCTTGTCTGGGAACCACACTCTGAGAACCTCTGAGGTGAAGTTGCCCAGAGCGTCACCTTGTTAGGTTTGGGAAGAATACCTCTCCTTCCCCTGGCCTGTGGCTCTTGGACCTGTTCTGATGTTTGATCCAGAACAGAAACCTGTCTCCAAGAATCTCGATGATGCCGAGAGCTCTGGCCTCTCCGGACGGGGATACTCAGCTCACAGCGTGCTCTTTCTCTCTCCACAGAATAGGAGCGTTCAGCCTGAATTCCAGGACAGGCAAGCCCATGCCGGCTGTGTCCAACGGGTAGGCCACCAGACACCTCTGGCCCTGGAGTCCTCACATTCAGCCAGCTCTCAGAAGGGGGCCTCAGGGCCCTGGGTCCCTCCTGAAGGGCCCAGATGCTTGGGGCCACTCTGCAGCTGGCCCTCCCCCCACCCAGGCTAGAGCTCCAGCATCCCCAGGCCCAGGGGTCAGAGGACTTCGGGGAGCAGGGTGGGGCTGAGAGGTAAGGGCTGATTCTGGGCATCAGCAAGGACTGGGCTCTCTTCCTTCCTGTCCTCTCCCCAGGCCCGCTTTCTCCCCCTCCCACCTCTCAGCCTTCTCCTCCCTTGTCTTTATCTCCCCTCTTCTCCAGTGCTTCCACTGCTGGACATCAGCCTCCTCACAGAGTAGATTCTGCTAAACCCTCACTTTCCGCATTTGCTTACCAGCTGTGGTGGGCTAGCCACGTTGCCCCAGCCCCCCACCCTGACCATCTGCTTTTGGCTGGCCTCCTGCAAATATGGCCACGAAGACCCTCCCACTCCTTCCCTTTCCTCTCCTGGTTGGAGAGAGGGTCCACATCTGGCAGGGGTAGGGGGACCAGGGTAAGGAGAATCTGCTCGGGGGACCCACCTGGAGGGGCCACTGGCCTTTGCTGAGGGCTCCTAGAAGTTGCGGTCTCAGTAGCTGGACTGTCCATCAGATTAGCGGGATGTAGGAAAGGGGCCTTCACAGGACCTAGGGATGTTCACAGCCCTGGAAGGGTATGGATGCTAATTTACAAGAAGAGTAGGGAAGCAGCAATTGGAGAGGGAGCAGGAGTCAGAGAGAGAAGCAGGAAGAGAGAGCAAGTGGGAAGGGAGGGAGAGAGAGAAAGGCCAGGAAGGTGGGAGCTGACTGGGGCTGGAGAGCGTGGAAGGAAAGATCGTAAATAGACGAGGGGCTAAGAGGCAAGGAGAGGAGCAGATGGAGAAACATTGGACAGAGGAGGCTGGTGTGAGCATTCTATCTCCCTGGTCAAACAAATCAATCTTTACCAGCAGGCAGGGCTGGATGGGGGTGGAGGGGCTTTGGGTTACTCAGCTGGCTGCCCAAGTCTAGGGGGACAGGCTGGCCACCTGGCTGGAGCAGGGGACACTCCAGCTGCAGCCCTGCTCTGGCCGCCTCATCTCATCAGCCCCCTGCAGAGGGCCAGCTCCACTGCCTCCCCTGCCTCCTCTTTGAGAATCTCTCCCTTCAAGAGCTGGCACTGGAGAGAGCTCCATCAGTGGTTCTCCGAAATTTGTTCCGCAGCCAGCGTGTTGTGGCCCTGAGGCTGGCTCGAGTGTGGGTTGCATTTCATCAGCTTTGCAGAGTTGTAAAAGGAGCCAGGCAGGGAGAGAAATGGTGCTCTTGAGGGCCTCCTCCGTGTCAGGCATGGTGTGTGTGAATATTATTTTGTAAAATGGATGCTACAGTCACACCCATTTTATGGGCTAGGAAACTGAGACTCAGAGAGGTGCACTAATGAGTCCAAAGTCATACAACTACTGGACAGCTGCCATTTTCTTCTCCCTCCCAGGGGCCCTGGCTGCCCTGGGACCTCCCCCCAGCTGGGGTTAGTCCTAAACATCGGAGTGGGGTGGGCTGGTACCTGGGTGGGGTGGGGTCCCTCCTGACCAAAGGAAGAGATCATGGTAGAACCCCACCCTGGGAACTTGCTCCCCTAGAGAGGATTCTCTGGGGGAGGGGGCCAACTTCACGTCCTGGCCGCCCACCTCCTAGAGGAGCCTCAGGGTTGGCCGAGATCTCTCTCCCCCAGAGAGACCCCAGCCAAGAAGTTGCAGGGGAGGGAGCCATGGGAGACGGCCTGGCAAGCTGCCACCCAGAGTACACCCGTCCTCCTGTTTCACGGCCTCTTACTGCTCTCCTTCCTCCAATGGATCAGAGTGGCTCAGAGCTGGGATGTGCCGGGACTCTGGGGATCAGCTGGGTGCAGGGTGGGGTGGCTAGCCCACGAGGTCTTTTGCCCACAGAAGTGGTCTCTGGATGGAAAGTTTGAGAACCACTGGTCTGGAAGCCTCCGGGTGAGTCTGGATGCTTTTCTAGGACTTTCAATGCAGACAGTACCCTTCTTGGTGGGCTCTTGGGGAGCAGGGGGTGGGGCAACTCCAGGCCTGGGGGCCTGGCCCAGGAAGCAGTGCCCTAGGTCACAGGAGACTCTGTCTTCTTAGGGGCTTCGGAGCAGATCTGCTGGATGGTGGTGGGGAGGCGAGGGGAGGATGAAGAGGGCTGATTCAGGGAGAGCTCAGGCTTGTGGCTCTGTCTTTGTCTGACTTTCCATTCTCTCCTCTTCTCCTCTCTCAGCGGCGTCCCAGGGAAGAAATGTGGCACCATCATCCTGTCTGCCGAGGAGCTCAGCAACTGCAGGGTGAGTGGCAGAGGGACCGTAGGACAAGACCTGGGGGTGGAATGGTGAAGGGGCGGTGATGGAGGGCAGGCTGGCCTCCCTGGGACCCTGGGACCACAGGGTGTCCTTGGAGGCACTGGGGGAGGGCAGGGCTCTTCAGTCTACCTTGGCTGTCACAGAAGTCCACGGCTTTGGAGCTGGAAGATGTCTCCCCTTTTCAGAGCTGAGCTGACTGAGGCACAGAGAGAGGAAAAAGCTCGCCCACGGTCAGCCGCTGAGCTGGGCTGGGAGCCCTGGTCCACTCCCCGTCACGGCCACGCTCGCTTGTCCTTGAGCCAAGACTGCCTTGGCACTAACACTGGCAGCAGAGAGGCCTTTTCAGTCTGGGAGGCTGGGCGCTTGGCATTTAGTTGTCATTTTTCACTTTTAGCTCTGGAGTAGGGTGATGCCCCTACATGGGGCTGAGGGGGTGAGAGCATGTGGTTGGGGTGTGTGTGTGTGTGTGTGTGTGTGTGTGCGTGTGTATGTTGGGAAGCCAGAGTCTGCAGTCCTACGCAGTCCTTGGTTTTGCTTCTTCTGTGGGACTGCAGAGAAGCAGGAGGCAGGGACAACTGGGGGTAGCTGGGTGGGCGGGGGGAGCCAGGATCTTTAATAACGAGGCTATAGTGTCCCAAACTCTGCATTCAGGGGCTTCCAGTTGGAGAATAAGACAGAATTGATATTCTTTGGGAAGTACAGCAATGACTAGATCAGCTCAAACACAGTGGCTCTATCTGCTTTCTGTCTGTCTGTTTACCTCCGTGGGTCTGGTGGACCTTGACCCCGGGACTAAACCTCCCCCAAAGGTACACCCGGCAGAGGACAGGGCATGCAGTAGATGCTCACAGAGGCTGTTCGGTGAATCTGTAAATGAATGAACAGGAAGCCCAAACCAAATGTTTAGGGCACGTGGATATAACTGCTACACCTGTATATGCTGGCGATCTGGGCACCATTGGAGTCCCCACAAGGGAGAGTCAGTTCAGTCTCTCAGTCGTGTCCGATTCTTTGTGACCCCATGGACTGCAGCTGAGCAGGGTTCCCTGTCCATCACCAACTCCCGGAGCCTGCTCAAACTCATGCCCATCGAGTCAGTGATGCCATCCAACCATCTCATCCTCTGTCGTCCCCTTCTCCTCCTGCTTTCAATCTTGCCCAGCATCAGGGGCTCTTCCAATGAGTCAACTCTTCGCATGAGGTGGCCAAAGTACTGGAGTTTCAGGGAGAGAACAAGGGCGAGAACATAGCCAATATGTAGACTAGAGGTCTATTCAAGCTTCCTGAGCCTCAGTTTCTCCACCTGTATGCTGGGGCTGATAGACTCGCTCTGAAGATTAAAGGAGATTGTGACGGTGACTGTGCCCAAGAGGCTCTCCTCCTCGTGGGTTTCTGGGGAAGACTGGACCTGAATTCCCTGAAGCCTAAATCCAGTTTGCCCTCAGGCTTCTAACTCCGTTGGTGGCTTCCTCCCTGGTTTACAATTAGACAAAGCAATACAAACGAAAGTGCTTTGGAAATTCTAAAGCTCTAGACAGTGCTGGGTGCTGCTATTGGTCTAGTTTTCCGGGATTGGTAAACAGTGTGTGTTTAGGCTCTCCTCCTCCTCTGCCACTCTGCCCTCCCCACCCCGCATCCACGGATGGCAGCAGCTTCTTTGATTTAAGCAGTTTCAGAGCAAGTGGGGGTGGGGGGCTCCCTCCCTTCCTCTTGAGATTCTCAGCTCCTTTTCTTTGGGGGCATCTTTGGCTGAGTTCTGTCTTTCCCTAGAATACTTGCAAGGAAAAAGAGACTAATTCCCAGCATCTGGCTGAATTAAAATAATTACATCTGATCGGCTTTGCTTCTGTCATCCCAGCATTCAGTAGGAGGATCAAAGGAAGAGGGTGGAGTCTGAGAGATGGTTTTTCACCAGAGCTGGGCTTCCTGCTCAAATGAATATATTCTCCTGGAGCAGACAAACCCTCCCTTCATCCACGGGGATGGTGTGGGCGGGCAGGGACCAGAGAAGGATTAGAGTTGACTCCAGAGGGTCACCAGCATGCTTTGATGGGTTATAGAAAAGCCCTTCTCATCGAGAATTTAAATACCAAGAAAGTTCCAACAATCAGGATTTGACCCCAGATATTATTTGGTGATACCTGATGTTGACAAGGCTGAACTTAATCTCCTGAAGGGCCTCCGAATCACCAAAGAATTAAGTATGGTCAGCAGTAAGACAGTGATTATTGCGTGTAATACTGACCAATATTTGCATAGTCCTCACAGTTGCTTAAGACTCTCATGGTGACAGTCTATGTGATCATTCACCATGGACTCAGGGGCCTTCCCTGCTGGCTCAGACAGTAAAGAATCTGCCTGCAATGCAGGAGACAGGGGTTCTATCCCTGGGTCTGGACGATCCCCTGGAGAAGGGCATGGCAACCCACTTCAGTATTCTTGCCTGGAAAATCCCATGGACAAAGGAGCCTGGCAGGCTATAGTCCAAGGGATCACAACTGAACAACTAACACTTTCACCTTCGTGGGACTCAGGGCTGGGTAGGTGTGAGTGACCCAGTGTCCAGATGCAGAGAAGTTGGAGTGGCCTTCCTAAGACTGCAGGATTCTAACCCAAGCCTGGGGTCTGGGAGTGTTTCCCTTACCCAGTGAAGTTCTGAACCTTCATGGCACATGGAACAGCTATGGGCTTTGTCAGGCCAGTAGCCTTTAGTAGGCCTGATGAGTGGCTGGACTTCTAGAGAGAGGCAGGAGGGTGTTGTGGGTGTGGGTGGTGACTAGCTCCTAGGCTTCCCCTTCCCAGACCCCTAGCTGCCCCTAGGCCTGCCAGGCAGCCAGACAGCCTCGCTCTGGAGTCAGGAGTCCCTGACCAGATGCACATTCTCAATGCCATCCAGTCAGGTCCCTGCACACACTGGCAAGAATGTGACTCACCTCTCAACAGTCAAGGAAGGCAAAGCTTCACCTGGTAGCTATCCCTCCCCATCCCCTTCTAGGTATCAGCAGCCTGGCAAATAGATGGGGAAACAATGGAAACAGTGACAGACTTTATTTTCTTGGGCTCCAGACTCACTGCAGATGGTGACTGCATCCATGAAATTAAAAGACGCTTGCTCCTTGGAAGAAAAGCTATGACCAACCTAAACAGCATATTAAAAAGCTGAGACATTACTTTGCCTACAAAGTTCCGTCTAGTCAAAGCTATGATTTTTCCAGTAGTCAGGTATGGATGTGAGAGGCGGACCATAAAGAAGGCTGAACACCAAAGAATTGATAGTTTTGAGCTGTGGTGTTGGAAAAGACTCTTGAGAGTCCCTTGGACTGCAAGGAGATCAAACCAGTCAATCCTAAAGGAAATCAATCCTGAATATTCATTAGAAGGACTGATGCTGAAACTGAAGCTCCAATACTTTGGCCACGTGAAGCGAAGAGCTAACTCATTACAAAAAACCCTGATGCTGGGAAAGATTGAGGGCAGGAGGAGAAGGGGACGACAGAGGATGAGATGGTTGGATGGCATCACCAACTAAATGGACATGAGTTTGAGCAAGCTCAGGGAGATGGTGAAGGACAGGGTAGACTGGTGTGCTGCAGTCCATGGGGTCACAAAGAGGCGGACACGACTGAGCGACTGAACAACAACAAAGCCTGCTCGTGTTTTCATTCATTTCATTTCATTAAATATGCTTTGGCTCAGTTCATGCCCTCCCAAAGTTCTCAATTTTGTACGAAAGACAGAAATTGCCAGCCAGCAATCACTGTACAGCAGGGTCATCAATCCTGTCAGACCCACTGCCTCTTTTTTATGACAAATATTTTACAGCACTCTTTACTATCCTGAAGGAAAATTCTTGGACATAGCATATAATATGCCAAAATACATACAAGTGAGGCAGTGAGCCCTTGCAACTACCTAGAGGAAGATCAGTCCAGACAAAGAATACCAAAGCTCTTGTAAAGGAAGGAGCAGGAAAACAATAGTGAGTGACATCAGAGAGGCAAGGGTGTGGGTGAATGTGGGGGCCAGATGGTGTGGGACTTTGTGGATGGGGAGCTTAGCCTTGAATCCTGATAAAGTCAGAACTCTCATTGTTCTAAAGACAAACTTCAGAGAGAGCCCAGTATCTCCATATGGGAGTCTTGGGAAGATTCCAGGAGGAGAAGGGAGAAAGATAGGAAGAAAGAGGTAAGGTGAAGTGGGGGAAGTGGTGAAGGCTTCCTGAGACCCAAAATATGCAGGTTGATCTTTGGGAAAGATTGTGTGTGTGTGTGTGTGTGTGTGTGTGTGTGTGGTCAGCACAGCTATGTGTCCTGCATGATGAATAATCAGCATTCAGATATCACCCTTTTATTTTTTATTTTTTTAAAGGAAGAGCAGGTACTTATTTATTTTTGGTTGCACTTGGTCTTCGTTGCTGCGTGGGCTTTCTCTTCTTGCAGGGGCTACTCTACTTGCGGTGCGCCAGCTTCTTTCTCATTGCAGTGCTTCTCTTGTTGCAAAGTACAGGCTCTATGGCATGTGGGCTTTAGTTAGTAGTTAGGCATTCAGGCTCAGTAGTTGTGGGACATGGACTTCATTGCTCCATGGCCTTTGGGATCTTCCCGGACAAGGAATCAAACCCATGTCATCTGCATTGGCAGGCAGATTCCTATCCACTGTACCACCAGGCAAGTCCCAGACATCACCCTTTTAAAAAGTTAGTTTGCAATATTTTGGTCTTAGAAATCATCTGTCTCGTTAACAACAAGAACAACAAGCAGAGTGAAAGAAAACAAAACAAAAACGTTTTTCCTGATGCTGAAAAAATAACATGTTCCTGACTGTTGAAAATACAAAAGACTAGAACCATCACCAAGAGATAATCACTGTTGACATTTTGAAGCCTTTCCTCCAAGGCTTTTTTTCTGTGTGTCCAAGACTATAGCTTTTTCTTATAATTAGTAGAATATGATATCCAGATTTATTTTCCCATGTCATTATTCTTA